GAACTGTATCCTGTTTGTGCCATCAGTCAGGTGAAGAAAGCAGTCCAATTCAGCTCAAGCTTAGACTAAAAGTTTAGGATTTAGAAAGCATGTTTTTTTTTCTAACAGTAATTAACTCTGACCTTTATACTTGCCACTTATAATCACTTAAAATCTATCATTCTGTAATAAACTTATTTTAATGTTTTATCCTTACCACTGAGTGGCTGTGTCTAGACTTGCCAGTTTTTCTGGAAAATCAGCCACTTTTCCGGAAAAACTTGCCAGCTGTCTACACTGGCCACTTGAATTTCTGCAAAAGCACTGACGATCTCATGTAAGATTGTCAGTGTTCTTGCAGAAATACTATGCTGCTCCCATTCTGGCAAAAGTCCTTTTGCGCAAAACTTTTGTGCAAAAGGGCCAGTGTAGACAGCTCAGATTTGTTTTCCGCAAAAAAGCCCCGATTGTGAAAATGGCGATCGGGGCTTTTTTGCGGAAAAGCGCGTCTAGATTGGCATGGACACTTATCCGCAAAAAGTGCTTTTGCGGAAAAGCATCCGTGCCAATCTAGACACTCTGTTCCGAAAATGTTTTTAACAGAAAATTTTTCCGTTAAAAGCATTTCTGGAAAATCATGTCAGTCTAGATGTAGCCATTATGTCTACAGTGGTTGGGAAATTTGCTCAGGTTACAAAGGCTGATGCATGTCCTCTCGCCTATGAAGAAGTGATGAACTAAGTAATAACCTTACACTGATCATCATGCTTATGACCAGTATAAGACAATCCAGTGCAATTCTAGGGGAATTGGATGGAGCCTCTCCCGTTACTTCATGAGTGTTTGGCAGATCATTCAGGTAACTCAGTTGGGTTTGTCCCAACCTGTGGATGTTTCTGTAAGTGCAGCACCAGTCAGAGGCTTGTAGCTTGACAACAGCAGCACAATGTGATGAATACAAGTTGGTGGGTTTTGTAAAGCTCTGCACACCCCTATTCCTGGTTGCACAGATACCCTTTAAGATACAACTGTTACCAGGCAATAGAGAGATAGACAGGAAACAACTGTGGATGCAAACTTGGCCCACCATGTAAGAAAATCAAGTTTCCCCACAAAGTTTTCCAGACATCCAAGGAAGACAGATGATTCTCGCTGAGAATTCAATACTCAGAAACAAAAAAACATTCTGCAAGGGACAGGCAGACAACGGGACAGTACGCTGCCATCCTGGAGCCATGCTAAGATTAGATATGATTTTGGAGTCAACAAGAAGGATTGGTTCACATCAGCACTAATGACACTGTGTTGCGCGGTATCTTGTAGATAATAGATGGTTTTGGGGTCTCGGGTGTCAAAGAACAATCTCTGAAATCCTTCCCCAGTCCTACTAACAGAAAAAGACACACGATGCTGGAAATAAACCAGTGTGTAGGTAAGTGGAGTAACGTATGTGGTTTCATGGAACACCTTCTATGAGGAGAGCAAGCAGTATAGTTTGGATGACCTCCACCTCAATATAAGGGGTCCAATCTTCTCAGCGACAGGCTGACTAGTCAGGAGAGTGTTAACCTAGTAAGCCAACATTGTGCCGATATTTTTTAAAAAGGTAAATGGGACGACACAGATAGTTATAGGCTGATCAGTCTGACATTGAACCCAGGTAAGATAATGGGAGTGGTTTATGCGGGACTTGACTAATACAGAATTAAAGAAAGGCAATAAAACCAGTACCAATCAACATGAGTTGATTGAAAATAGATCCTGTCACAAGCACCTGATATCTAGTTTTAAATGAGATTTCAAGTTTAATTGATAAAGGTGTTGATATATTTAAACTTCTGTATGGCATTTGACTTGGTACCGCATGACATTTTAACAAACTAGAATATACAATTAACATGGCACTCATCTTAAATAGATTAAAAGCTAGCTACCGTAACTGATGGCCTCAAAATGTGATTGTAAACAGGGAACCAGGAATGTGTTTTTAGTGGGGTCCTGTTGGGGCTGGTTCTTGGCCCTATGATATTTAACATTTTTATTAATAATTTGGAAGAAAACCTAAAATCATCATTGATGATGTTTGCAGAGGACACACCAACTAGGAGAGAGAGTGGAAAATAATGAAAAGGGCAGGTCATTGCTACACAGTTATCTGGCTTGTATCGTACACTGGGATTCAGAGCCCAACCTTCAGCCTGATCTGTAATGTCTACACCACTGTTTTTAGTACACCAGGGCTATGTCTACACTCGTGGCTTCTTGCACCAGAAATATGCAAATGAGCAGGGCTTGACAAATCTGCTTATCTACTCACCCGTGGCGAAGAGATTTCAGCCGTTCGCCCCGTTTACCGGCGGTTCGCGCATGCGCAGTGCAGGGCTAGTGAGTGGTTTTCGCCGCAATTGTTGAGCCCTGCAAATGAGGCTAACCGTGGAATATCTCTGAGCCTCATTTGCATACCTAATGAGCCGCCATTTTTTTCAGAAGAGGCTCTTGCGCCAGAAGGAGCTGTCTACACTGACCCTTCTTGCACAACAAAAACCCTCTTGCACAGTGTCATTATTCCTGAAAAGTAATCGGCATAACGGCGTTGCGCAAGAGGGTTTTTGTTGTGCAAGAAGGGTCAGTGTAGACAGCTCCTTCTGGCGCAAGAGCCTCTTCTGAAAAAAATGGCGGCTCATTAGGTATGCAAATAAGGCTAGGCAATATTCCACACAGCCTCATTTGCATATTTCTGGCACAAGAAGCCGCGAGTGCAGACATAGCCTAGCCCTGCTACCATGAGTTTGTGGACCTGGGCTGGGAGGCTCACTCCCAGATTCAGAACAGATCTCTCTTACATCAAGTGTGGGCAATAATACTTGATGTGGTGGGGGGAAGTGTCTGGGAAGGTCTTTGCGTAA